ATAGCAAACCTGTATACAGGCATTGAATGTGCTGAAAAGTGTGGTGGGGGCCTGTCGAGCTTCTTCCCTGTTAGTTCAGGTGTGAGGCAAGGCTGTATTTGTGCACCAACACTTTACAACACTTGCATGGATTGGATACTGGGTAGAGCTACTGTCCAAGGTCACTGTCACTGTGGAGCAACCCTGGGCAATATCAAGGTTACTGACCTTGACTTTGCTGACAATGTTGCCATTCTATCTGAAACTCTAGAAACCCTAGTGGTGGCTCTTGATGCATTTAGCAAATGAAGCAAAGCCCCTGAGGCTAGAGGTCTACTGGACCAAGACCAAGATCCAAGATTTGGGGGGCCTACTAGGAGACCCTGTGCTTGCAGTGAAAACATCTAAGTTACAGAGAGTTTTATATACCTTGGTAGTGCAGTTCACGACTCTGGGCTCTCAGACCAAGATGTCAGTAGATGGATTGGCCTGGCAGCAGGGGTCATGAAATCTCTCGACAAGAGTATTTGGAGATGCCGGTACCTGCGCAGAAGGACCAAGCTATGTGTCTTCAAGGCCCTGATACTGCCAGTTTTAATATATGGTAGTGAAACCTGGACGCTATCTTGTGCCTTGGAATCTCGTCTTGAAGCCTTTTGTAACAGATCCTTGTGCCAGATCATGGGGTACAGTTGGCGGGACCATGTGTCCAACCAACGGTTGCACCATGAGACTGGTACAGGAGCTATAACTTGCACAATCCATGATCACCAACTCAGCCTATATGGCCACTTGGCTCGACTCCCACAGGTTGACCCTGCCCACCAGGTTGTCTCTGTCTAAGACAACCCCGGGTGGAGGAGGCTGTGGGACAACCAAGAAGGTCGTGGCTTGGGCAGATCTATCAAACCTGTTGTGAGGAACTAGAGATGGGCTGGACCCCAGCCTAGCGGCTCGCCGTGAGCGACCCTTGCAGGCAGAAGTGAAGGGTGGATGCAGCTATGCGCCCCTGCTGGCGTTAGCTCCAAATGATGATGATGATGATAATATATATATATACACTGAATAATGCATCATACAGTGCAGCATCAAATTTGAGCTTTCCATTTTCTTCCAGTTTCAAACTAGGCAGAAGCACTCTGCATGCTTATCAGCAAGGTGCAGCTGTTTATATATGACTCCGCCCCCATAAATAGGGGCAGAAAAACATTTGTACATTTTTTTTTTTTTTTTTTTTTTTTTTTTTTTTTTTTTTTTTTTACCAAAATGAACAATTTTAACAATGTAATTACATAAGTAAATTTCCAATCAGAATTAAGTTTCTGGGAAGGAGAAGAAGAAGAAGAAGAAGAAGAAGAAAAAAAAAAAACAGAATGCAATCTGCCTATTAACCCAATGCCGACAGGTATGACGTGTACGTACGTGCTATACCCACTGTGAGTACTTGTTTGATTGTTTTAACGCATAGATGGCAACACTTGTACTAAATCACCATTGAGCCAGTTACGAGTACTACCCGTCTCGCCCGTTTACCCTTTTCTTTGATTTACGAAATCTTTTACGTTATCTTATTTTGCTGTTACTAAAGTTAAAAAACATTATAATAATTATAATGTTTATGATAAAAATAACACCAACGATTTTCATAGCACTAGTGAAAAATATGTTTTTCCTACCATTTCAAATCAGGCGCTAGCAGAGCCATCTATCGGCAGACATTTCACGAAAAACATAGAAAATGGGAACAGCATTTCCCCCATTTTTTGTTCATTTTCCCCAGCGGCATTGGGTTAACTAAAAGAAGTCCAGTTAAGTTTTCCTAAAATTGTTTTTAAAACTCAAAAGTGGTTGGCCTGGTTTTTCCCTTCGGTCACATAATACATATTTTAAGAATCGTGACAGTGCTGCACTTTTTTCTTAAACCTGAAGTGAGGTAATTTTCTCTGACTTGCCATAATTTCTCATAAAGAATCTTTCATATCCTAAAAAAAAATACAATATGGAGACAACACTCCTAATGTTACTGCACTTCAAAATAGATATGGCAGTTGAAAATATATGTTAATATGCTGAATTGCACAAGTACATGAACTGGTGGGTGATTCTGGCTAATAACATTCAACTAACCTTTCCAACATGAAACATTACCAGGTGCATGGATGGGATGGCTTGAAAATTTCAATTAGTTTGATAATGACCATTGTGTGTACATCTTATAAGCCTCTCTGGTAATTCACAATCAAATATAGGACCCTTAGAATATTCTGAGAAAGTTCCATGGTCATTGCTAAAGCACAGCAGCCACAGCAATCACTAGCATGCATCTATGCCTATGTTTATTCCTAAAGACAAAACCCCTAATTTCCCAAACCTTCCTCTTTGCCGTTTGGGGATAAAACTCTAGCACATATATATTGGAAAAGATACAAAGGTTGAATTCTTGTGAGTCTTTTCTGCTGTATCAGTTCTGTATATTAATCATCAACAAACTGTAACTGAATTTAGCTTATGTCACAACAGAATAGTTTGTTTGTTCACAGACAGGTTTGTGCATGTGGATTTCAATTCTCTTAAAACTAAGCTAAGCTAGGATACAGTCAAGTGTTTCTGTAATACAAAGCCAAGAATGAATAAAATCAGATTATCATGGTACTATCACTCTGACCAAGGTCCATCTCAATCTCCAATATCTGATTTGGATGACTAAATTAGACTCTGACTCGGATACCAATGATTAACTGCATTCACATCATCTTAGCCTATTTGATCAAAAGAACATACCTATTACATCATGAAATAAAAGCTCTTGGAGGAAGATTAGACTTAGTGAGCATTTAGGAAGGGTCTCTTGCAGGGTGCACTGCATAAAACTGAACAATGTAAAATATTAAAAAATGACGCAAACGAGATACTACTTATAGTTACTCTCATTGCAGATGATATGGAAACTGTGCAAGGAAAACAGTCTATTACCATTGTGATACAGCATATCATATGGCATATAACAAGAAAAAAAATACTTATGCAAAGAAAGAGATAACAACATCGCAACGGGGAGGCAAGGAATTTGATACTCCACACAAGTGTTCATGTAAGCAGGCCTACCAGCCACGCATCTGGGAGAGCTGCCATCCAAGTGAATAAAGCTTGGTCCTTTTTTCTATGGCTCTGGTATCATTCCAAGCATGTGGATTTCAATTCATTTAAATATCTACTTGGAATGCATGAACCCCCCCACTAGAACTCATGATCTTAAGTTTACCAGTCTAAAGGAGAGCATTTAGCCATAACCAGGAATAGGATGTTCAAGCATTCAGGTAAAGATGGGGAACAGCTCCCACACATTATAAGTTTATTTGTCAAGGTCACCAAATAATGGCCGAGGTCCACCACTCCCTGGTAAATAAACAAGCTAGGTCCCAAAAATCACACAAGCATCCTCATGCATATTACATTAACTTAGATAAACATCACAATGAAATAGAGATTAAAATGTTGTAAGAAGGAACATTCTATGATATCATTCTATGATATTATACAAATATCTTTTTCAATTTATTTATCAGTAAAAGTAATTTGTTAGTAAAGATCCCCCATAGTAAAAGATCAAGGCAGAATTCTTCAAATGAAAGTCACTACCAGCTTTGCCTTGGAAATGCAAATATCATCAGAAAAAGTTTTAGTGTATAAGGTCATATTTCACCACTCCCACATCCATATTCATATAGATTTATCATTATGCTAGTTGCTTCTTAACCCATTCGCACCATGTGGCAATAATACATGCCATGCCCATTGCAATACACATTTATTTTTTGTATTTACACATAGATGGCTCTACAAGTTCTTAATCACCAATTAGCCAGTTTATCGGAACTACCTATCTCACCTGTTTAGCCTTTGCCTTCACTTAAGGAAAGGTTTTTTTTTGTATCATTTCATTTTCTAAAATATTTTAATGACAATTTAATAATGATAACATCAATAACAATAATAACAGTATCAATAGCAGTGGTATTAATTTTCCCACCAATTCAATGAATGGGAAAATCAGGATCAGTAACTAGGGCCTACTGAAAGACTCCTTGCCAGCTGAGCACATGTGGAGCCATCTGTATGTAACAAAATTCACCCAAAACTACAGGTGACAGAACATAAATCTGGGGTGAATGGGTTAATTGGTGAAGTATGAAAGTGGCTGCAAATGTTGCATTTCTACATTAGATTACTTTTTTACCAAATCATAGCAGATATGTTGCAGGTGTAAATATTTTGAGATTCATCCATCTATCCAATCCATATTATATATGCTATGATTGTCACATGTGAAAAGTTTGATCTTTATATTTTTGGGTTCTATTGTTTCTGCACTAACAATAAAGTTCATTTCTTAGAATTCATTATAGATTCCTCAAAATGTCTAGTGTGATATTACAGAGGTTTTAGACTGAATTTTGTCTGAAATCCTCATAATGTAAAATCACCACCACATAAGACCAGAAAGACAGAACCAAAACAAGTATAAGCAACATGATCCATGAATGTCGTCATGACTCAGAGGTTCCTCAAGGTAAAAAATATCTCGTCATATATTTTGCCCAATGTCATGCAACTTATGAATATTTCTAACTGTTCTAAGTATGCCTATATCTTAATTCTGCTAATAACTGCTACTACATTTGGATTGTAAATATTGAGTACAATGATGCAATTTTCATTTTATCTATATTTTTACAAACTGTAATAGGATTTAATACACAGACTTTATAGCATCACATACTCTAATAAGGGGACTTACTCAAGAAATTTACCATCAATTACTAAGATTTCATTAACGTACATGTGCACAATTCACAATTCAAGATAAGACAAGAAAATTTCACGAATCAAAAGGTACCTGGATCTCAGCCTCAACACTTAGCACATGAAAATTCCGCACCATCTATAACCTTGTCACAATCCCCGCTAACCCGTGAATACCAAGAACGTCCTACAAGGAAAAATGACACAATTAATCCAACCTCTGAAACTGCTCAGGACTGCATAACTGGAGGGAAAAAAGCCCAGCGGAGCAGACGTTTTAAGGCCTCGCCAACACAAACGTTGCGTCGCTGTTATTGTTTTTGTTTCTTCGTTCAGATCGCGTTCGCTCGTTCCCATCCGCGGCAAGAAATGGGATGTGAAGAAGTGTCTAGAAAATGTATTATGTTTTATATATATGTGTTTATGTATATACATGTATGTTTATAAGCCTATATATACATATACATGTATAATATATATAAATAATATACATATATGCGTGTGCGTGTGCGTGTACGTGTACGTGTACGTGTGCGTGTGCGTGTGCGTGTGCGTGTGCGTGTGCGTGTGCGTGTGCGTGTGCGTGTGTGTGTGTGTGTGTGTGTGTGTGTGTGTGTGTGTGTGTGTGTGTGTTCTTACCTGGTTATTCTTACCTAGTTTTTTTCAATACGGGAGATGAGCTAAGCTCAGATGGTCCCGTCTGCTATATCTAAATTATCATACAACTTTTTAAAATTGATGCACATTTTTGACACACAACGTTGTTTGGAAGATTGTTCCATGTTTTAATATTTCTGTATGGAAAACAACTCCTTGATATATTTCTCGCCTCTTTTTACTTTCAACTTTTTGCTGTGTCCTCTCGTCCTTCATGTGTTCAGAATTATAAAATCATCTTTGTCTAACTTTAACCTATCTGTAACATAGTTAAACATCACTATCATGTCACTTCTTTTTCTTCTTTCTTCCAAAGTAGTAAGACCTAATTTCTCTAGTCTTTCTTCGTAGCTCGTATCTCTTTGAATAGGTGCCCATATTGTGGCTGCTCTTTGAACTCTTTCTAGTTTATCTATATCCTCTTTTAAGCTCCATACCACTGCACCATACCCAAGACTAGGTCTTAAGATGGCTGTAATGACTTCTTTACTTTACCATGTTTTCGTCCACATACACGAATGCCCTCTACGTGTTGGCAATCGGCCCTAGCATTTTATGAACCTTGTCATTTACATGATCATGTGACCTTAGGTTCCTGTTTATGATTATTCTAATTTTTTATGATCATTTTACCTTAAGTTCCTGTTTATGATTATTCTCTTTTTTTTATCTGCTTGTTTAAATACCACGTCTCCTAACTTGTATTGGTATAGTGGACAATTTTTACTCTCTCCGAACCTGACTACATGGCATTTATTGGTGTTAAATTCCATTTTCCAAGTACAGCTCCAAATGAATAAGTTCTCGATGTCACTTTGGAGTCATTGGCATGGGGCATCATCTTTTTTTTTTTTTTCAATTTCGTGTCGTCTGCAGACATATTCAAACATATGGGCTTATGTTTGACTCTAAATCATCTATGAAAATAGTAAACATAATCGGCGACAAGATCGATCCATGAGGTACTCCTCTAGTTACTCGTCGCCATGAAGGGTGCTTCCGTCCAGGGCCGGATTATCCTATAGGCTAGTATAGGCTGCAGTCTATGGCTTGGTTACAAAAGATCTGTTTTTTTCACTACGGTTGTGTTGAAATATAGTAAAATAGTGGTATTTAAAGAATATCTTTGTTGACAAACAAAAGATAGCTATGCTAGTTTATTTAAAGAATTTACAATAAGTTTACTTCAAGCTATGTAAATCTCGCTAAAATATATAACGAGTAAAAAATATTCAGAGGGGGCCCCACAATTTCATTAGCATAGGGGCCTCAAAAGGTCATAATCCGGCCATTGCCATTTCAAAGTATGGGTCCTGAACAAATACAGACTGAAATTTCTCATTACAGATTTCACACATTTCCTCTTCCTTAGTATAAACGATGTTATTGTCTTTGATGGCGCTAATTTGATCTCTACATTTAGTCTTACTATTTATGTAGTTAAAGAAGAGTTTTGGTTGGTTTGTACATTTATTGATTATATCCTTTTCAAATTCTACTTTCGCCTCCCTCATGGTGTGGGTATACTCATTTCTTCCTACTTTATATCTTTCATACGCTGCCTGAGATCTGTCTTCTGAACCTTCTCCAAAGGAACTGTTTGTTTTCTCTCATTTTCTTGCATTTATCAATGAACCACTTTTGGCCATTTCTAGCTTCAATTTTGAATCTTGATACAAATCTTCTGCTCCTTGTTTATAGACGCTGCCAAATTTAGAATATTGCATATCAAGCTTCTCTTCATTCAGGAGGGTTTTCCAGTTTATACCATCAAGGAAATTTTTAAGGCCTCTATAATCACTCATTTCCTTTTCTTTATTTACTTACGATGAACGTTTCCTGTAGCAGATAGTATTTCAATTTAACTATTACATGGTCACCTTTCCTAGAGTGGGCCATTACACCATATCCTAAAAGTCATCTTTATGCTTTGTAAATATTAGGTCAAGCATAGACGGTATATCTAGCCCTCTTACAAAATTCGTTTATGACACAAATTCCACAAATCTGGCTGAGCTCTGGGATCAATTTTGCTATAAAAATCCCGTCACAAGGATTTCTTTTGTATTGGTTTCCGATGTGGGTGGATGGGGGGGGGGGGTGTATGTTAGCCCCACCGATGTATGAGGTGGCATGTACTTCTGTGTGTTTGTGTTTGTGTGTGTGTGTGTGGGGAGGGGGTATATGTTAGCTTGTGTGTAAATGAAAATTTATGGTAAAAATACTTTTAAAATGTTCTCGTTTTTTTTTTTTCATTTTTTTTTTTTTTTAATCAAAACGCGAATATAATTTTCACGTTCCCATACGCGAGGAAGGCATCAGTACCCAAAGTCAAAATACCTTTGGCAACGATTTTTGGTAAAAATGTAATATTCGGTTATATCTTATTAACATTTGCATCTTAATGTGGCAATTTGATATTAATTACTTTTGGAAAGTCAATGAATCTGTTTAACACTTGATACGATATTAATTTATTATGATTTCTATTTTTATACATAAAAAACAATTTATTTAAGTGCATTCCGTCTTTTAATAAATTATGATTTTCGGTCGTGATATCAGTAAGTACAGAAGCAATGTCGTTTTTCCCCAAAACGTACACCCGCTTTCAAAATCACGTGTGTTGTGAACTCTAAATGACTAACGTCTGTTGAAGTGATGAAATAAGTGATGCAATTTTTAAATCTCCCTTTACGTCATCACATCGACATTCAAGGAAAGATATCAACGAACACACCTGTACCTTAATCGTCTGATAGAACCTGGGCCCACAAGGATCAGGGTTGCTGAAAAGTGAACCAATTTTCTCTTGTAATATCGCTAAGTGATTGTAACAGTGTACCAACAGAGCCCCCCCCCCCCCATCCCTTGCTCATTACAAAGGCACACACATACATATGTAAATCAATAAATCAATTAATATATATATATATATATATATATATATATATATATATATATATATATATATACTGAAACACATGGGTAAAGATAAAAGGAATAGAGAAACTATGGCTGGTTTTCATTTTTTACTTTAAAATAGTATATAATTTTGAAATTATGGCACACTCCTCCTGGGTACGCAGCTGACACAAACACTACCTGCGCTGACACTGGTCTTCAAATTACAAACAAAACAAAACTGGCTCATGAAATCACTCTTGATGGCCATATTCTTTCTTAAATTAGTATACCCTAAAATATAACAAAAAATGTATATCGTTATAACACTGTCCATATGTGAATTAAAAGAAAATGGGACTTCTCCACAATACCTAAACACGTCTTCCTGATCACCTGACAGTTAAAAGATAATAATACGTTTGATTATTGTACTACACCCTGCACGCAGCACTTACACCACCAAAGGAATCTTACTTAGCTGTATGCTATTCCACACACTCTGCAGCACTTTCTCCACAAATCACAACTTTCTTCTGATGTTAATACAACCACACGTGGGCAACTTGTCTCTTCTAAGGGAAGGGAAATGTACGCGTGCATACATACACACACACACACACACACACACACACACACACACACACACACACACACACACACACACACACACACACACACATATATATATATATATAAACTTTACAACTCCTACGCTGTACAGACGGCTCTACGTTTATGCACATCACAAATAAACACTTTGAGAGAGAAGTACAGATCAGATTATGTACTTTGACATACGAAAGTGAATGTGAACTAATAGACAGAAGTTATACATGAGAGATGAATGAAATAATATTGAAGGATCTATGTCCACTCCTTTAATATATTTTCGTATGCTTCGTAATGAGAACATCATAATGAAACAATGTGTATGTAAACACCAGGGAAAGAAATTTTATTCGTCTACCTTCGGCGTGTCAAGCATAATTTATACTTCTAAGGTCATTAGCAGCGTATTCAAAATATAGCGATAGGGTAGGACTTGGGAAAGAGGGAGGAGCGCTGCCAACCCAGTTATATAATAAGGCAAAGTTCCATTATATTCCATTCCTTTATTTCGCCGTAGTTTTGTGTATTGTGGCTTTTAACTTTGTGAAGACTGAGGAAAGAATAGCAAAGGGATCATGAGTTACGGCATGGAAAAAAATAAACGACCTGAGTGCCATAACTATCCTAGTGAAGGAACAGCCACTGGAGGACGGTCGCGGGTTTTACAAATTTCGAATATGGAGGTGTTTTTTTTTTAATCGTTACTAGTTGCGTCTTATGAAACCTCACATTGAGAAGGATACTCAGCTGAGCAAGGCAACTCCTGCAGACCATCGATGATCAAACTTACAACAAAAATGTATGAATTTAAGAGGAAAAAATCATTTACTACCAATAACTGAAAATACAAACTACAAAACTTAAGAAATTATAAAATTAGTGGCAACCTCAGAACTATAATAAAATAAATATTAGAAACTTGATAATAAACAATACACTACAAAACCTGCAATAATCATTGAATCATAAATTCAACAATAACTTTATAATACCAATGAGCATAAAAATAACTGACAAAATTGCAATAATATAACTACAACAAATCAAAAATAAAATCAACGTAGCTTTCTGCCTACATTTTTTTTATGATCCAGAGCCATTCTCCTGCAGCAATATCTGGAACAAAAAAGAACCTTTATACATAGGGAAATAATCAATTAAGAAATTTTACTGTCAAAAG